AATAAGAGACACTTTTCTGCCTTAGATAGTACTATGTGGTGAGTAGGTGCGCTGCTAACTATTCTCCGAAAGAGAGCCTCTGCTGATTAAAATTTGGACACCTCATTCTATTTTTCTAATTATTTATTTTCATTCCACATCTGGCCTGTCCCTGATTTTTAATTTGTCTATCTCTCGTGCGGTCTCTCTCTCTCTCTCTCTCTCGGCTCTCTCTTCTATCATTATATATAATATATATATATATATATATATATATAGTAACTTATAATAATATATATATACTATAGTTACTATACTATATATATAATAATATATATCTCTTATTCTATACGTAAGCTATAATATAAATTAAAATATCTAGATACGGTGAGGTACATGCGTGGGGAAGTCTAGCTATGTTTATATTATAATATGTACATAGATAAGCTTACCAAGTAAACGTATACAGATATCTTCATTACAAACAGAGTTGTATCAGCAATTAAATAAGACATTCAGAAACGTTTCAGAAAGTAAATGTGCCTAGAAATGCAGTTGTCTTTATTGTGCCAAAATAAACACACCGATATTATGTTCATTCCATGATGCATAGATGCGTGTGTATACTACAGTCGTTCTGTATATCTCATGAAAGTATTTGGTGCAAAAACAAATACGAGGGAAAAAGCAAGATGATATATTCTCCTTCAATATCTATAACTGCTTGCAAGCTGTGTGAAGTTCCAATAGGTTATAAGGATGCATGACACACAAGTGCGTCTTTCGGTACATCCCTATTTCGCAGATATAGCAGCAAGATCCTTCAGAAACAGGTTACACATATCCGCCCTAATACGCTCTTATCACTAGATACTATGTGCAACCATGCACTTTACTGTATGAGTCATGTCTCTCTAATGTCAACACACACAGTGATTTTGTAATCTCATTGAATACAGAATTCTTACTTAGAAATGGATGTACAACATGTGACCAGTTTTACTGTCAAAATAAACCAAAACGATATGGGCAGTTGCAAGAACACTTACCTGAGAATCAAATACTCTATTTGCATTGGTCCTAGCTGCAGACTTCTCATTTAAGCGATTGTTAGATCCCTTGGGGTTGTGAAAGTATACATCGCCAAAACAGCTGTGCAGTAATGCGAGAAAGCATGCTGTGTGCAATATGGTCACTCGTGAAGCCATCCCTGTAAAGTGGGCAAGGTAAAATTTATAACGCCAGGGTTCTCCCTACGTTGCGCAAACGGGGTGCGCGCGCCCCGTTTGGGAAAACTCCCCCCTGTTTCAATCGTTGCGCCCCGTTTAAATTACCTCCGCCCCGATTAAATTCCACCACAATAAAAGTTTGCCAGCGCGGGAATCGATCGTCAAGAAGTACCATTTGACCAGGACACCCGGCGCGTGTATTTTTACAGTACCACGCATGCACTGCAGACAATACACAAGTACAAAAAGTCAACCTGTCCCACACCCAACACTAACTGTACACCGACTCGGCTACCTTATATCAAGAGCAGATAAAGAAAGCAGAAAGCAGCCTTCTTTATCTGCTCTTGCTTATATATATAAGAACCCCAAATACCGTCTATGGTGTGGTGGCGATTTTACGCATTAATTAGTGGTACGGTATAAAACACGCCCCCCCTAGCCCCCCCCCCTCCCCTCCCCCCTGTTTGAATTTCATCCTGGGGAGAACCCTGAACGCAGTGGCTGGAGGTACGGTAGCCGTTGTTCGTTGAAGCCCCTTTTTGGCGTTAGGGTTAGGGTTAGGGTTAAGGTTATGGTTAGGGTTAGGGTTAGGGTTAGGGTTAGGGTTAGGGTTAGGGTTAGGGTTCTAGCTCATCTAACTCTCAAATCGTGAATTTATTTCCCAAGGCGTTATTTCGAAATCTGGCGCCACCGCCCGCCATCTTTGTCTCGTTAAGTATGAAAGCGAATGGACTCCCGTACCCGTAGCCTCGAGACATTAAGATACGACTACCGTACCCGTAGCCACTGCCAATTTATAATCAACCTATCGATATAGAAGGGAGATAATCATGTCCCCCTTGGAAATTGTTGCTAGGTCAGACAAGCTAGACCACTAGAAATTAATAACATAGAACCCCTATATATATATATATATATACGTATATGTGCTACGTATATCATGTATCATGTATATGTATATGTATGCTATTCCTATTGTTGCAGGCGTACGAATGTTATTAATATTAGACGGATGAGATGACACAATTAACTACAGTAGCGCAAAGCCATATCAGGCTGGTGTTTAAAAAGTTACAATCATATATATGCATATGATATGGATCAAGAGTCCATAATTAGAGATTATTAGAGAGTCGATTATTATTATCGAGATATTATAATATGCATATGGATCACTAGATACAATAATGTAACCCAAACCCAAGAGGATAGGGTTTGGGTTACATTATTGTATCTAATGGATCACGAGTCCATAATTAGAGAGTTGATTATTATTATCGAGAGATTATTAATATTATTATCGAGAGTCTCTATTATGGACTCTTGAGTCTTGATATGGACAACAAAACTACAACAAACACGTTACAACAAAACTACTGCAGTACTGAGTACTCGGTACTGTATACGTTAGGCCTGCAACATGAAATCAAAACCAAATTTACGCAACTCACCTTGGCTTAACGGGAGCACTATCGAAATAGCGCTGTTCCGTACTAGTAGTAGTACGTAGATGTAAAAGGATTAAAGGAAGTAGCGATGACTAATGTTAGTTAGTGGGTCAGGTTCATCCTTTCTTGGTTCTACGCGATGTACAGAACTATCCGACAGGTAATATTTGTGTTCGACCGCAAGTGGTTTTTGGAAGTGAATTGATGTGTTTACTTCAATACTTAATAAGTTTACAATCTATATCAATAATTATTAAGAAGCTGTTTTTTTTTATTTCTACGAATTACGTTTAATTTACATGCGTATTCACCACATGAAATGCTACACTCACTATAATACTTCCCATGCTAAATCTAAATTTGTAAACTATCCCTTCCAACCCCACTGACCATGATCGCTAACAAACTGTACCTGTTGCTGTAACCTGTATAATACCAGTCGTCATGTTACGCTTGACTGCGTTCGCTACACTGACTCTAGTGAGTAGGCCCTAGCGGCCGTTACGAGCAGGAGCGGTAATCATTAACGTCACTGTTGCTGTGGCCAGTGTGGGCGTGCTGATCTCCACATACTAACAATGTAACATATGTATATCGTAGTATATATATAGACATCATCTTTATCCTTGAACCACACAACACACACACACACAGTTAGTATATCGAGATCAGTATGGTTAATAAATTAATAAGATTAAGAAAATATGATAAAAAAAGTGGTAAAACTTCCAGAAGAAGATAAATTATATAGCAACCGATAGGTGGCGGGCATTGGCTGTGTTTGGCGGTAAATAGGAAATTGCAAGTGGATGATGAGCAGCCTTTCTATCTAAAGTTTTGAATTTTTGTTAGAGTAAAGTGCCATAAAACTAGTAAGGTTTCTTCCATTGTAAGAGTTCTAGGGTAGCATGTTAGGTGTTATATGTTTAGACCTAGAGTAGTGTAGATCATACGGTTCAAAGATAGAGATTATGTCTAGATTGGTACCGGTACCTATGAGTGAGTATGAGTATGACTTAGCCACAAGTTCCCATCTCGCTTAACACTACGTGGCGTAACAGTCGTGTAACAGTCGGAGAGCCTGGTCGGGTTAGATTGGTACCTATGACTATGAGTATGAGTATGACTATATGACGTATGTCATTTTCGTGAATGCGGGGGTAGGCCCTTTAAAGTTTAAAATTGACAGGGGTGTTCTTGAAGGTGTTGTTTGTTTATTTCCACCCAAAAACATGGCAGAATATATATCTGTATATAGGAGTGTTTCACGTGACGTCATAGATCAGGTCACGTGTATTTGTTATGTGTCATACTCATGGTTGGCAGAAGCGAAGCGTGCTGCTTGACATTTACAGATGAATGACCACATGTTCTGATAAAAAGCGCTGTTTATGTAGTGCACGTACATGTGCGTGCTGCGTGCGTGCGTGTGCACGTACACGTACGTGCGTGCATGCGTGCGTGTGAACTTACACGTGCGTGCGTGCGTGCTTGCGTGCGTGCGTGCGTGTGCCCAGGGCTTGAAACTAACCTAAAAATAAACATTTCATTTCATTTTATTACTGAGCCCTGTTGATAGCCCCTTAGTAATTTTTGAAATCGACCAGCCCTTAATTCTCTGGAGTGTGGTGCTGCAGTGCCATGGCGATCGAGCAGTTATTGAGTTAACTCCTCATATGAGTGGGTATAACTGGAATGGGGGCTCCCTAGCCCGACCACACGGCGACCAGGCTGTGCGACCGATTGTCGTTGGTCTTCTAACTCTGGCAAGACCGTGTTTTGGAGCTAGGGGCTCCCCAGAACATAGTTTAGTTTATCTGAGAGACATTCCAAAGCTGGCTACTTTGGTCACACTCACACTGTGTCGTGTCACAGCCGGCACCTGGAACGTTTCAATAATAAAATTATGGTAAACAGGGTTTCCTATACATATGAAGCACAGTGGCGCACCGCCGTTGTCAAATTTAACATCGCCATTGTGAAAATGTTCAAATGCAGTCTAAGGCATTCAAATTTTTTTTTTTCTTTTGTGGGGGGAGACCCCCCCAGAACTCCCTCTCTTCTCCCGCATCCACCTGCAGTGTTCGCATGTGTGCCTACCTTTGAATCCATCGTGTGTTTTTTCCCAAACTGCATGGCCATTACCTCCTTTGTCTAATTTTCTCTCGGAAGAAACCCTGGTAAGTAAATACGAGATGTATTTACTACCAAATTCTGTATGTTTCTCTACTCTCCTGCCTATTATTACTGAGGTTGATAATTTTCTGTAAATGCCATTTAAATGCTTCACTGCAATGCATATTAAGTACAGTACCGCACGCTAGCTCTAGAACTATATAGCCCTTTGCTCCTCCTGCGGCGGAGTGAAGGGCTATAGTTCTAGAGCTAACCGCACACATGCTGCTGTGCACAATGAAAATTTAGAGCTATTCTATATTAGAAATATAGGCTTTGTATAGGTGGCGAGTTAGTCGGTGTCCTATCACTTCTCTAACAGAATTTGAAAATGTTTTTATGGGGTTATTGCAGAGCGATGGAGCTTATATAAACTATAGTGCTGAAGTTAGCTTAACTATATCATGTAAAAATCTTTGCAATATTAATAATTTGTTGTTACTGTACTAACATTTCTTGCAGCAGATCTACTTATTCTGAACAAGTAGAAAAACAGCTAATTTCGATCCCTATATGTCTAAAATCTCAGCAGTATCTGATAACAGTAACATTGTTTCATGGTTGTTGCAGCCCCACTAGGCATGATGGAGCCTATCTGGGATAATGTGTTGACTGAATTCAGTGGAGAGGAGACTGTCAACTTTGGTGCCAGAGATGAGCGTGGTTCCGCCCTGTATCAAGTTGATACAATGGCCACAATATCAGCTCGAGGCAACGTACGTGATCAAGAACAATAATTTTTTTAAAGTGTTTAAATAACTGCTGGTATACAATTGCGAGCATAATATTATCTGAGACGTCAATACAAGTTACAGCAAAGGTTACAGGAATATAAACGATGCAATGTTCATTAGAACTATTAGCAGCAAAAACACATTTGAAATACTGAAAGCCCAAGAGCTTGGCTCTTGGCCCACGGCTTTACCAGCCTCGCTCAGTCCCAGCATAGTTGCCATTTTTAAGGTTTGTTAATCCATCTGTTATTCCTGATTTAGCATCAAAGGAGTGTATGTGACTCCATGAATATCCCAATGTACGTAACCATAAATCCACAAACGTTACATACAATCTATTCTCCTCTGATTGTAAGGACGTATGTATTCTGTGATAATGCCCAGCAGATGGTCTAATCATTTTGGTCATGCCAGCAGTTGCCTCGACTTATGTCAGGTTTTATTTTTAGTATTGTTTTAGCTTTATTTGGCTTTAATTTGGAACTTTACACAAATTTTCATATTTTTGTCCAGACTTCTTTTTGAAGGCCGGGGGCCATTAACCTTTATCAAGAGTTAATAATTTCTACCCCTGGACATACTTCTACTCCAGGTGATGTAATCTTGGCATGTTTGTGGCAAATGCTGCACTTTTAATTGACAGTTGTTATATACATCATACTTCTGATCATATGTGTGTCTTTAGGTGGTTGATGCTCCTGCAGTGTGCGCCATTGTAGCAGGGTTGCATTTCTGTGCAGCAGCAGGAAAACAGTTATCACTGTTTGATCAGAATGCAAGCACGTTTCTGACCACTCTTGATTTTGGCAAGTATCTCAGCAGTCACCTCTAATCACATTTGTTCACTGGATCTTTCAATGCCGTAAACACAGCGCGACTAAAATGAATTGTATTTTTAAAACGGACAGACCATTTACCTACTAGTTTACACTTGCAAGCTAAATGTAAAATAATATGTGTTGTGATTTTGGATGAAAATCTGAAGTGGAAAGCTAGGTTTACACTACCGACTTCATGCAGTCAAATTGATGAATCGTACCAGTTTCGCTGTTGTAAAACCGACAATCGGCAGTGTAAACGTAATAGTCGCGCGGCCAACTGGCTGGGAGGTTGGGAGATTGGGAGATTAGGACATGTTCTATTTTCTCAACTCTGTATTGCTGAATTGTATAGGTTTTTGCTATGCGGGCCACTCATAGAACAGCTCAGTCAGGAGGTGTGTCCCTCCACCTAGCGGGAGAGCACGGTTTTGCTATCGGCACCACACTGGCGGCATGGAATACATGCAAAAATGCGTATCCGCGTCGCCCCGCACGCACACTGCGGTTCGAATGTTGAAACGTTTGCCGCCTCACGGTCGATAACGTAAGAGCCTTGAACATATATAGAGAGGTTGGTAGAAAGAAGAAAAACGCCAAGTTGCATGCATAAAGTCGATAGTGTAAACCCAACTTTGGTGTAAACCCCAGAAATGCAAGTAACATATATATATATATATTCTAGAGTGTACAACGGGAAAATAGTGCTATTTCATGGCAATATTATTCTACTTTGCCTGCGAGTCTAGAATAATTTTATGGTATTGCATTAAGCACAATTCTTTGCTCTCCTAAATACAGAGACGCACCGCAGTTGTCAATACGATATTCCTAGCTGAGATATTGGCTCGTAAACTTCCCCTCCCACAGGCCTCACCGAGCTCCGCATCCACAATAATTCACTATCCTTCTCGCATTGTTGCGCGTTAGGGAAAGTCGCTTCGTGAGATTCGGTTTTTCCGCGATAACTTTATTGACATGTAAAAACGGCGTTTCGGTCGTATTATCGCGTGACTTTCGGGGACATCGCCTATGGCCCTTATCTCCCATTATCTTTCTAGCAGCGGCTATGCGTCGTCATGATGGAGCCGCTAATGTTTTTCTAAATATAAGTTTGACAAGACGGCAGCCCTTCAGTTACTATTAGTGCCGTGTCGATTTGCTTCTCAAGGTTACGCTGGGTCTAACTTCGGGCCACCCAAAGATACGTTCGATTTGGCCGTCACCGTGTATTTTTGCGTTACCGGGTGAGGCCCGAAGTAAACCGCTAGGCCGAGCCGCTTCACTTTGGGAGTATTTCGATCAAACAATGTAATTTAGCGAAACCGAAATCTTCAAAATCTTCAAAAATCTAAATCGTTTCAGCAGTAATGAAGCAATGACTGCGATGAACTGCGTGTCTTTGCCTCCATTCTTAGATTTTCATTAATAATAAAGATTGCAAATTGCTATGTCTTTTTTCTTGCACTGGCATCCATTGATGATAAATTAACGCCGGCGTAACCCAAAAAACGCATCGTTTAATCTTGCCCTACCCAGATGCGTTCGATTGTTGCTTACGCGCAGGTTTAACCCAGGTGGCTCTGGGGAAGCAAATCGAGACGCACCTACATATGGTGTAGTAAGAGTACCAAATTTGGGCATGTGACATCAATTATCAGCGCTCCAAGCGGCGACGGAAAACAATAGCCAGACCCGCAAAAGGCGAGAAGGATAGTGAATATTGTGGATGCGAGGCGGCGTGAGGCTTGTGGGAGGCATGATTACGCTCCAATATCTCGGCCTGGGAGTATCGTAGAGACAAGCGGTTATTATTTTAGAGAGCAAAGAATGCTGCTTAACCCAATACTATGAACTTACTTAGTCTAGAACCGCATACAAAGTAGAATAATATTGCCGTGAAATAGCACTATTTTCCCGTTTTCCCGTTGTACACTCTAGGTATTTATTAGCTCTTGATATTATAACTATAATATAATTTTTGTCACATGTGTAAATGTTCCATTTCATATTAGAGTTTGAATGATGGACTAATGTTTCAGACTCTGATATAGAGACGATTGCCAGCTTAGATGACACAGAATGGATTGTTGTTGGCCTGAACAATGGCACTTTGCACTTTGTGTCTATCCTACATAAGGTGGCGATGTTCTCACAGGTAATAACACATTTGTATGAGAAATTCGGTACCATTCATTTACTATCAAGATACTTGCAACAAAATGTTTAGATAGCCTTAATAGATGTGAGCTGATCTATATGTAGCTGTAGCTAGTATATGTAGTACACATTTCACAAGCTTTACCTTTATTATTGTTTGAGTGATACAAATTATATGAAGAAAACTATATTCAATCGCGTGCCTTGATGATTATACCATCTAGTGGCAATTAGCCTCTTTATTATAAACAAGAAGAAAATATGTTTCGTTTACTCTACATAATAAGTTCATATTATCTAATTTATTAAGATTATTATTTATAATTATCATTACTTAATTTACTATATTTAAGTTATATATTTATTGTCAATTCTTTTTCAGAAAGTTTTATTGTGTAGAGAGGGGGAAACATCATTCCAATGCATTCAAACCACTACCACTAGTGATGGTAGGTTGTAAAGTTTTTTATATTTCTATTGTGATTAATGTACGTGGATTTCGGGGTCTTCCTGGGTATTGTCGGAATGTAGGTGGGCATGGTCTGGTATGTGGGAAGGTACCCTTGATACTTTTCATGTGCCAGTAAATCCCCTGGCTGCTTAATAATATATAACATGAGCACAGACCATGTGTTGGAAGGGAATTCAACTGCTTTATAGCTTTTGCATTGTGCACTTACATGCAAATTGTAGTTCCAAATAAGAGTCTCTGTTTGTGTTTTAATGAATCCTTGATTGGGGGATATGAGCCAAAAAGATTGTATATGGCTCAAATCATGCAGCCCTGGAAAACCTGGAAATCTCATGGAAAAGTCTATTAAGCCTGATAATCATCTTGTTGTTGCTATTTTTATAGGGATGCAGAACCTTCTGATATCAGGAATTGATGGAACTCTGTTATTCTTCCCACATATGGATATATCATCTATAATTACAGGTAATATAATATACCATATATAATGCTTTGGCATTAGATGCATTTGAGTCTTATATAAGGATGAGAATTGGTTTCAGTGATGCAAAAAGACCTGGTGGAATTTAAATTTTATATTATTTCCTTTAGACCAGTTTCTCACTTAATTAAGTAGCTCCACTCTGGTACTACCCAGAAGGTGGAAACACATTTCGGAGACTAACTAGTTATTGCTAATTAGTGTCTTATGACTAATTGCTATCCCACATAGCTAGTGAAAATGACATCAGATCTTTAATACCTATTCTAGTTGAAAAATGGGGTGAATTTAACACCAAAACATTTAATCATAATGGTCACTAGACTCAGTTGCATGTTGTCTTAAATATATCTTGTGTATAATTATAATCATAACATCTATATCTGGCTGAAGTACTTGTGCTATAAATATTATACATTGATTTGTTTCAGCGCTGGAAAATAAAGACTTTGCTGCAGTGAAAAAGGTATTATGACGGAGGTTAAATTCAGCAGGTGAAACCAGATCATGATAACCTATTAGATCTTGTATCTACGTTTAATATAGTTTTCGTACACATGTGATTTTTTCCAAAGGTTGTTGTTGCTAAATGTTGAACTATTGGCTGCTTCTTGTGTTCTAGCTAAATCTAATCATAGATTTATTTAACAAATTAATATTTCTGGGAACATACATAAAATAGTGAAGGACACTACTATTGCCTTAAAAAGCTTATGAAATCGTTGCACGTATAAGATCTTATATCTCGAAACAAAATTGTCTAAGTCAGAAAAGGAGAGAAATGGTCTAGCGATATTGTTAAGATAAACATGTAATTTACCAGTGGCTGTTTTTAGTTTCAGAAAGAAATGACTCGGTGCTGTAGTCCATTGCCTGCGGGTTCCAGTGCATTGAGGCACGACTTAAATGTAGTTCTAACCACTACGGTATGTGATTATGCATATCTTACCTAGAATGTCTTCATATTTTATAAATTATATGCAGTTTTGCATTATACTTCCCTTGATTACTTTTTATCGTTATTGTTTCTGTTTTAGGGTTCTGACAGTGTTGGCATGGGAGTGTGGTCACCTTTGTCAGTGGACGCCAGCTCTATACATATGACTATTCATTATGAGGAGCTGTGCAATGGAAGTCAGTTATGCTCTCAAAAATTTGATAAGTTATAATTGCACGTTTAAACGTGTCATACGCATGTACTCTGAGTAGAAATCACTGTTTTCAACATGGGTCACACATTTGTTCTTGTGTTCGAAATCTTGACTATAGTGCTGCATTGATCTAGTGATTTACACAGACATGCTGAGTCATGGTTCGAGTGTGTGTTAGTCCTGCCATGTGCAGTGCTGGTATTATTGCACTTCTACTAATCAAAATGACTGCATTTAATATTTCGTTTCCTGTACTCCTATCTTTTTGCAGGTATTGTGAAGTGTATTGTGAGTAGAGATTGTCGCTACCTCTTGACATTGGATAGTAGTGTAAGTGTACAAGTGCACACACTATTTCGATTCCATATTTGAAAAAGCTATTACCTAGATTATTAAGTTGCATATTAGTTATCCATCAAATTGTGAAATCCGATATTTTGATATTTTCATTTGTGAATCGAATAATGAGACTGAGAATGAAATATGACCCAACTGGCTGCATTCATTCACTTGCATTCAGGTTTGTTTCCACATGTCTTGCTCCTATGGTTCCAAAGTCTGAGCTTGCAACTAAAATATTGCATTAAAAATAAATAAATAAATAATTAAATAAATAAAGCTAAAATAGTTTATGGAGAACATTGTCTACCTAGTAATGAAATTGCACGTTAAAACTCTTCATTTAATTTTTCACAGAATGCGCTGTCAGTGTGGGACGCACAGTCTATGATCATGCTGAGACAGTGGAATGAGTTACCTGTGACGGATTTTACACTGATAGAAGAATTTTGTCAGGGTGAAATAAGGTACATGTGGGTGAGGATAGTAGCTGCGTTCACACGAGGATTTCAGTTCCGTACTGAGCGTTCACACGGTAAAAATATTCAAGACTTATATGCGGCTTAGCAAGTACCGTACTGAAATACGAGGCTTACTCGGCGCGGAAAGTGATTCCGCGCTGAAACATTCGGCACCACGCTGGCCGCGTATCGTCTGTCGTGTGAACGCAATTCGAGGCATCTTACTGTAGTGCGCTTACCTAGACTGGTACCCGTTTGCTACACGACGTTAGTGTAGCGTGTGGAACTGTCGACCAGGTACCAGTCTATATTATACCTAGCCAGCTAAGCCTCGATTCTCGTGCTTCGGGTTGTGTTAGCACGGTATTTCAGCCGAATTCAGCACCAGATAAGTACGGAACCAGCGAGGCCGTGTATCTCGTGTGAACGCAGCTAGTGTTGTGTTGCTTGGAAACTGCTACTGTGTATTGTTATGTACTAATATATATATATTCAGGGTGCGAAATTAACGGGAGTCCGGAGTCAAATACTCCCAGATTTACTGTCGGACTCCCTGATTTGACGTATGCAGGAGTCCGTGTGACTCCCTGAAAATTCTGCCATACTACATAGTTCATTCCAGAGCACAGCCTCGTGGAAATACCGTATTTTTTCAGCTAATATCCAAAGAAAATTTGACAGACGTGCAACCGCATGATAAGCACATGCGTTATTGTTAATATCTTTAATTTTGAACCTCAGACTGCGGACTCCCTCATTTTGCTGCGGACTCCCTTATTTTGCTGCGGACTCCCTCTTTTTGAGGGTAGGGAGTCCGTTGGACTCCCGTGTTCAAAAGTTCATTTCTACCCCTGTATATATATATGTTATCAAGAGCTTATAATACCTAGAGTGTACAACGGAAAAACGGGAAAATAGTGCTATTTCCCGGCAATATTATTCTACTTTGCCTGCGAGTCTAGAATAATTTTATGCTATTGCATTAAGCACAATTCTTTGCTCTCTAAAACAAGACCAACTGCTTGTCAATACGATACTCCTAGTATAGGCTGAGATATTGGCTCGTAAACTTCCCCTCCCACAGGCCTCACGGCGCCTCGCATCCACAATATTCACTATCCTTCTCGCCTTTTGCGGGTCTGGCTATCGTTTTCCGTTGCCGCTTGGAGCGATGATAATTGATGTCACATGCCCAAATTTGGTACTCTTACTACACCATATAGTACAGCTAACTGAGCGCGTGTGTTTAAAGACTTAATTTAGAGAAAACGATTGCCCCGGGGGCTCCCTATCATGAAGGGCGCTCATCAGCCGTGCTAGGGAAGAAGTAATGGAGGATGAAGGCGAGGCATAAGGGCGGATGCAGCTGGCGGTGTGCGGAAAGAGGAGTCATGCGGGAGGGCGGATGGGAGTGGATAACAAGAAACGCCCTGTTCATTCTTATAATTTATTCGTCGCGGTAAGGGGAAACCGACTTCGTCACGAAGCGACTTTCTCATAACTCGCCCCAAAATTCAAGATAGGGATAGTGGAATATTGTGGGATGTCGAGCGTTACTCATATTTCAATAATTTCTTAAAATGAACACTCGTTATATAATAAAATAAAGCACTCGTACTATAATAGAGTATCTATAATGTAAGGTTTTCAATAAATTTGATGAACATGGTAGAAGTATGCAGATGTTCAAGGTATATAATGAATAGCTCGTAAATACACGAGGGTAGTACGGTAGTAGGATACATCAGTATTCTGATTCCTTGGAACATTCACCTATAAGTTTATTGCATCTCGTGATTTCAAGAAGTGGTCTAAGAGAATCGGGGAAGCCGACAAATTAAAGTTAAACGAAAAAATAATCAGCTGTCGTTGTTTTGGTTGCATGGCGGCGGCTGGGCCGCTAGCCCTGCTGAGGGTTCCTTTAAGATAACCGTGGCCCGTACAGTAGTGCGGGTAACTGGGGGTGTGCTTCGGGCCTGTCTGG